TTTCGCTACCGATCGAGAGGAAAAAAGTGTCCCGGTCATCGAATTTCATCGAGCGCAGGAACAATTTGTGCGGCAGTTGATATTAATTCCTTGGCAGAAGGTTTGACTTCGATCGACAGCTGTGTCACCGTAATTACTCTTAACTGCTCTAATTTACGTCTCGTAATGACGCGTTTAATGATCGTAATTTTTCTCGCTGGTTCGATACCAGAAGAGACGTATTTGGCCGAATCGCTCGAGGCCTCGGCAACTTTCATGGACGTTGTTTTCAATCTGAAAAATACCGGCTGTCCGTTAATCATTTTCGTGTAGATCATTCGGCCGGCGTCGGTGTAATTTTGCGCTCGAAAACTTATTAAGCGTCGAAATAACGAAAACTCGCTGCTCGCACGGAGTCGAAAGGGATCGTTTTTTCGCTTCCGCGTCGAAGATTCCACGGATCGTTACGAAGTTTCAAGGGGTTTCGAGGATGCACCAAGTTACAGAAGCTACACTCCATAAGCATTTACGCAATGCATAGAATGCAAATTCGCGTGCGGTGCATTCCTGTCTAGTGAATCCTCGCGAAGCGACGCGACGCCGTTTACGCCATCGTGGCTCACCGATGGCCGATCGTTCCGGCGGACGTTGTAAATAAACTTCCGAACGTCTGTTCAACGTTCTTGTTCGATCATCGAATTTCGCCGGAGGTTAGAAATCGTGAAATTTCGGGATCGAAGAAGAAACGAAACAGCAGGTAGTAGATAAGACTCGTTAAAGATAGTTTTACTCGAAAGCTGGCATTCGAACGTTCGAATAAATATTGACCGATACGGGATGGTAAGTCGAGTAGGGCCAAGTACCGTTGGGCAACCATTCTTGTTTGGCGAGAACAACGACGAAAGGTGAAAGAAATGCGAAACATTGCTGGAATCCGCGTACCACCCCGACACTCGGCCACGAGCCACGGAGTCGCGAGCTGTCGACCCACCAGGTACATGGGACAGCTATGCACGTGCACCGTCACACCGCTCGAGCTGTCCTACCATTTCGTTTCAGGATATCGTTCGCTGTCTGTCCACCTCCGCCTTGCCTTGTCCATCTGCTCGTTAACGTCCGTCTTCACGGAGAAATCGCGGAGAATACTCTTCGTTTTTTCTGACTTTCGATGACCTCGCGCGATATTTCATCCACTGTTTCGCCTTTCGAATTTCACGCCGCGATCTATTAGGATCGCATCGATTACGTTGCGATGTACTTTTGCGATACGATATTATTTTACGTCTTGGACGAACGAAACATTTGAAATATATTACAAAGTGCGATACTTCGGAAATCAGGCTATCTCGAAAAGGATGTTGGTTGTTCGCTTCGCAACAATTGTTTGCATTTTCCCTCGATTCGAATTCGGTAATTAAATACTTGAATGCATTATCTCTATTAATTTACCGTTCCCCCCGGTAAGTTAATTAAGAGATGCAACGGAAGAATGCGGACCTGGCTTTCTCAACGGGCACTTACACGGAGTTCAAACGAAACGCGATACCGAATTAGAAACAACTGTGCCCATATAACGATACAAGAAACGTTGGCTCAGTATTTGACGCTGTGTATTTTGGCACTTGCGACTAGTAGCCGTTTTGGTCGTTACCATTTGTCTTCTGTGGACCATGATACCCTTGCCTTGCTGCCGTTCTAGTTTCGCGTTTTCTGTACACCCTTTTCGTTCTCTCTTTTTCTTCGCCCCACTAATTATTTAACAACGTAATCATAGTAGAATATCGTTACATAAATTTTCGACCTCCTTAGCATCGGAAAAGAGAACTTTCTAGCGAATCGTTATAATTGCGACCATTGCGATGTAAAGAAGATCTGCGGAAATGAACGATTAATCGCGATCACGCTGGTTGCGGAACCGATGAAAATTCGTCATCGTAAAGGGTGGCGGAATGCATCGCGCGAGCGGCGGTGGTTGTCTCGCGAATTTCTTGCCCACCAGGAGAAATATGCAATCGCGCGCATAGTTACGCGCGTTCCGCGCGTGATTGTCAGGATCGATAGCGAGGATACGATCAAGAATGCTCGTTAAGCAGATAGGATTATCGCAGACTCGGGTTGTATCGCAACGAAATTTTGTTCGCCGAATTCGCTTTATTTATCGTTGATTGACAAGCAGGAATCTACTAGCTGGATCTGAAATATCTATCGCTTCCCTATACTTCGAGTGATAATAAAAAGGCGATGAAAAATGTTACGATTGAAAATGAACGAACATCGTAGGTCGGAACAATTACAGCGTAAAAGCTTTGACCGTCGAAGAAGCTATAAAATTTACAATTTAAGTCGAAAGTTGTTGACTCGGTTGGGTTTAAGAGCCCCGAACAATTTCAACGCGTCAGATGAATTCGCGCAGGGAGAAAAGACGAGAAACGGGATAGGGAGAAGGTAGAGGCCGTAAACGGCCGATTATTCCCAGCGAGTACGTCCAAATTTGAAATATATTACAAAGTGCGATACTTCGGAAATCAGGCTATCTCGAAAAGGATGTTGGTTGTTCGCTTCGCAACAATTGTTTGCATTTTCCCTCGATTCGAATTCGGTAATTAAATACTTGAATGCATTATCTCTATTAATTTACCGTTCCCCCCGGTAAGTTAATTAAGAGATGCAACGGAAGAATGCGGACCTGGCTTTCTCAACGGGCACTTACACGGAGTTCAAACGAAACGCGATACCGAATTAGAAACAACTGTGCCCATATAACGATACAAGAAACGTTGGCTCAGTATTTGACGCTGTGTATTTTGGCACTTGCGACTAGTAGCCGTTTTGGTCGTTACCATTTGTCTTCTGTGGACCATGATACCCTTGCCTTGCTGCCGTTCTAGTTTCGCGTTTTCTGTACACCCTTTTCGTTCTCTCTTTTTCTTCGCCCCACTAATTATTTAACAACGTAATCATAGTAGAATATCGTTACATAAATTTTCGACCTCCTTAGCATCGGAAAAGAGAACTTTCTAGCGAATCGTTATAATTGCGACCATTGCGATGTAAAGAAGATCTGCGGAAATGAACGATTAATCGCGATCACGCTGGTTGCGGAACCGATGAAAATTCGTCATCGTAAAGGGTGGCGGAATGCATCGCGCGAGCGGCGGTGGTTGTCTCGCGAATTTCTTGCCCACCAGGAGAAATATGCAATCGCGCGCATAGTTACGCGCGTTCCGCGCGTGATTGTCAGGATCGATAGCGAGGATACGATCAAGAATGCTCGTTAAGCAGATAGGATTATCGCAGACTCGGGTTGTATCGCAACGAAATTTTGTTCGCCGAATTCGCTTTATTTATCGTTGATTGACAAGCAGGAATCTACTAGCTGGATCTGAAATATCTATCGCTTCCCTATACTTCGAGTGATAATAAAAAGGCGATGAAAAATGTTACGATTGAAAATGAACGAACATCGTAGGTCGGAACAATTACAGCGTAAAAGCTTTGACCGTCGAAGAAGCTATAAAATTTACAATTTAAGTCGAAAGTTGTTGACTCGGTTGGGTTTAAGAGCCCCGAACAATTTCAACGCGTCAGATGAATTCGCGCAGGGAGAAAAGACGAGAAACGGGATAGGGAGAAGGTAGAGGCCGTAAACGGCCGATTATTCCCAGCGAGTACGTCCAAGTCACATTCGCTCTCGATCGACGAAAAAACTGGCCACGAGGGATCCCCTGGTGTAGTCGAGCCAGCGGAGCTGAGTCGCGGCCAATAAACCGAAAGGGGTAGACATTTTTCTCCGGGACACGGCTGCTTTGAATTCAGATTGCGCGGCCATGCGGCCCGCGGTTTTGTTCCTCTTTCGCCGGCAATTTATGCAATCTGGCCCGCGCTTCCTCCCCGTATTTATAACCGGGGATCCTTTGTGTGTTAATTTGTAGCTGGCCCCGCGATCCACGCCACGCCACACCGCGTTACATCGTTTCTAGAACCACGAGTACTCTCTCTGCGCGTTGCGTCTCGTCGACCTTTTGATCCGCGAATCTCGTACACCCTTCGGATTTTCAAACTACGATTTGTTGCCCCTTAATTAGCCTCGTAGCCGATGAACGAGGTTCGACAACATTCCTGTTCTTATTTTTAACAGACGACACTAAGGTTTTTCAAAACATAAGGTGGCACTTTTTGCGGTCGAAAATCTAAAAATCCATGAACGCCTTTGACTTACCTCGACCTTGATGGCGGAATCAGAGAAAACGTAAGGCTTGTTGCGGTCGGAAAGGGACAGACGAGCTTTTCTCCGAATGAATTTTTCAGCTATTCGTTGAACGTTCGTAATTGATGCAGGTAACGTTCTGGAAGAGGATCAAGGTGACACCGATGATACGGTACGCGAATACCGTTAGGACTTGCATACACCAGGTGTTACCAGTCCAGTAGTATGGCTGTGCGTATCGCGATACAAGGATTCGCGTGCATCCGAAAGGATAATAAAAGTGAAACCGTGCGCGGTAATTTATGTGACCACGCGTAGTGTGTCGCTGTTTAATTATCGGGCTCAAAATTGCTCGGAGAAAACGGAGCGCGTGCGGTGGTCCAATTAAAACGAGGGAAAGAAGAAGTTGATATTCGGTCTTTTTCCATCTTGTCGAACTGCTTTTTTTTCTGGTTCGTTTCTCTGGCTGTCGCCCGACCCCCACCGACAGAATCCTCGCGCCATATGGAACAACTTATCCCGACGTACGGAAAGAAAATACCGACTTAGCGAGAAAGCTCTTCGTATGTGGGCATCACCGATCGACTTTGATCGTCCCGTTTTTTCGACGACTTTTATAGAACGCCAGAGGAAATCTCGCAGTGAGATTACGCGGCTGTTCCGCAGAAATTCGGTGAACCAACCACCCTTTTCACTATCAACGAGATAAAGTTCAATGTTCCGAAAAACTTTGAGCACTCGATTTACAAATATTCGGAATAATTCGACAAGATTTATAATAATGAAATAAGCATTGTTCTCTTTTCTGTTGCAGCGTTGAAGGTGAAGCTTATGCTGAGGCGGCCCATCAATCAACTGGTTGCGCAAGGTATCATGCCACGTGAGTATCTTGGTTTTATTAAAATCAAAGGGTATAGATTTTCCGAGGACGCGAAAATGTAAATAATAAAAGGAACTACGGATACAGGGATTTTGGAATTTAGAAATCTGTGCAGAAGGGATACAACGATATTCGATGTGCGGTCGTTGAGGCCCGCTGACGTAGGCGTACCTAAATTCGACAAAATATTTAGAAAGTAACATGTAACAGAAAGAACGAAAAGAAACCGGTGACCGGTTAACGAAAGCGATCACGAATCTTTCGACAAATTTATTTACTTGCCAACCCCTAATTCGAATTTATAGACTTCGTCAGCGCGTGACATTTTTTTTTTTCTTTACCGCGAGAACGACCGATTAATCCACTTACAACTTAATTAGCTCGCGATTGCCCGCGATGGCTCGGCCAGCGGCGTAAAAGGAAGTAACTGGGACGCGCACGAACCAACTTCCTAAAGCACCTTAAATTGACGTGTTCGCGTGTAAACGGCGTTCGATCGCACGATAATCGTCCGATAATCTTTCTTTCGTTTACTTATGAACATTTGTAATCGTTACAAATTTGCTCCATAAAATTCTGGTTTCTCGTCGGAACGCTTCGGCGCGGAAGGAGTTAAGCGTTAAATCCTTGTGACCGTAAAATCGGACAAGCTATCGGTTCCCTGATATCGTCCGATCGCTTGATAATCTCGTATCGCGAAACGATAATCTGATAAGCCGATAACTCGTATCGAATTTATAGCACTGATTGAAATTCGTCGCTTCTCTCTTCGATAATCCGACTGGTATATCAAACACCGATCCCAGCTATAATTTCACGAACGTGACTCCATTGAATCGTTAACGTCGCTGTTATTAAAAATAATCCGTCAGGACGGTGTATTCGCGTATCGAATCGGCGGCTTGTATCGTCGAAAACAGATGTTGATACGACGCTTGATAGCTCCCGTTTCGAACGGTGTGCCGGCCGGCGTTTACGCGAAACGGCACGTGCAGTTTCGTTCCAAGGGATTTCCGTTTCGTTTACGGCTTCCAGGACCGGAGGATATCGCAAACGGTATCGAGATAATGGTTTTTTCGAGGAAACGGTCCACGATCATGCTGTAAATCTGTTTACGACGAACGATTAATTTCGAGTCGCGAAACTACCACGCTCGAACTTTAACGCGTCGGATGCGTGGAGGGTCATCGATGTACCGAATTGCAATTTTAATCTGCAGCAGACGATGTCTGTTTAGGTACACGTATACTATCGCTCGTAATTTGAATCGCTCGATAGAAACGGTCTCGTGCCAAAACTATAAACGATAACTATCGTAATTGCTTCAACTTTAAATACCGTTATAATTTCGAGAACGATTAATTCGCTTCCTATTAGTCATTCGATTCTTCGATGATACAATATTTATTTAAAGAAGAGATCATTACCGATAATTGGAAAGAACGGTTAAGTATTTCGATCGTTCAGTTCCACGGTACAAGCATAATTCTCGTAATTTCGTAAATCAAATTCTCCAAGAGTTTCTTTGCTAATCCGATGCGTTTGAAACGTAGCTCGAGTATCTTTAGTTAGCTCCAATGCCGTCGAAAGGGAATAAATTTATACACGAAAGTGAAACGAGCTCTGTACAATCGCTGCAAAACATCGTATCGTTTCTTCGAAAGTTGGACAATGCCGAAGCGTTGAAACGATCCGCGCAGCTGCTGGTCTTGGTCGTTGTAGCGATTCGAAGTTTTCCGGTCGTGCGCGTATTATATAATACCAGATCGCCCACGCGGGCTGATCCGATGCAGTATTTATAGAGAAACACTACGAAAATAAAAGAAAATAAAGGAATCTAACGCCATTTTCTATACGAAAGTAGGGAATGTCGAAGAAGAGAACTCTCTCGCTCGCGTATGAACGTTTATTCGAGCAAATTTTTTACTCTCGAAATATTTCAATAGATATTATATGGTAAGTTGTTGATTCCATGTACCATAGAGAACATTCGAGTATTACCTCTAGCGAGTGGCAGAACACTAGTAAGTTTTAATTATTATAACGGGTAGTGCGACGGTGGTAACTTTCGAATGTTAAGTAACCGATTATCTTCTGAATCGCGAAAGCGTTAACATTCGACTGGAATTTTTGGGAAAAAATCAACGTTTCTTCGACAGTTTATGAATCGTCGCTGGTTAAGAACTCGGCTTTTATTTACGTAAACTTGATCGTGCTCCAACGAACCGAGACGTTTATTGGCCTGAACTAACGACGCTCTAGTGGCTGCAAAGTCGACGAGGCAACGACGATGGAGGCTCGATTGCAACTTGTAAATTGAAAAACGTCACCGCATGATTATGACTAGTTGTTCGTCTATCGTTCACTGTCGAGTGATTTAGGACTCCTGTTTTCGTGTACGATCGCGATCTACCAGCTTAAATCCTAAATTCTCGAAGGGAGCTGCTCTATGATAGCTGGAGCCTCTATATATGTAGGCATCGTTTTAGTTCGGTGATCAAACCTCCTTAACGGCTAGTCGGGCCTCTCTCCTAGTACGTTCATCGCGAACTGCTCGATTTATGCGCGTTTCGATAGAAACTAGACAATTGGGTCGCAGCTGGCTCTCGCGAAACACACATGCGATACGCACACGCTGTGTCGGCGACGGTTTTGTACGCGTGGGTGAGACAAAAGCTTCGGCGCGAGCCGGCGTCGTTGACGTTCATAAGGCTTAATTGAATCGAATCGGTCGTTTAATTTTCGAATTTCCTACGTTAGATGCCGGTACCACGTTCACACGGGTTGCCCCTTCCGTTTCGCTGCGTTCTCTGATTCGCAATTCACCGGTTTTCGCGTCGTTAACGAGTTTTCGTCAACCGTCTAACGAATCTGGATCGATTCTTACGCGTCTCACTCGGACGAGCGTTAACTTTCTCGCCTATCGATCGCTAACGTTCTCGAAGTCCGGAGCATGCAATTTTAAGAGTTTGGTAATTAACGTTTAGTTAGAATTATTTCGCTCGATAAAGTCGTAAACCCTGTTTTCTTCGAGAACGTGCACGTGAAAATGTATTAAAATTATCGTCAGCCCAAAACTCCGTGTTAAGTGCTCTCGTACGGTGCTTAAGACCGTAGTTACGGAAACTGCGGCGAGTAAAAGTTGATTGAAACATGTCCGAAAGAATAGAAACGTTCTCTACGTTTCCATCGGCGCGATCGTTCGGGGAATAGAGAGCAGCGTTTTAATTGGTCGACGCGCGATGCCCGGTCCGGAAATAGGTGGATCGCGTTAGTGAAAACGGCGTTCGAGGATCGTTTATCCGGGGACTTAATGGTGTCGAGGAATGCAACGAGTCGTTTGACGTTGACACCGAAATGGCGCCACGCGGGGAGACCTTCCGTGGCCCGTCATCCCGGAAATTGATGCGTGCAGTATGCGCGCGTAGGACACCCCTAAAAGCTTGAAAAACAGCTTTTTCTCGTTCGGCCGTTCTTTTCTTAGATCGAGGAGCCTTTTGCCGCGACACAGCTCCATTTCACTTTCCGCTATTGATGCGTTCATGGAAAGTTTCATGAAAGCGATCGCGTTCCTTCCTGCTTGATTTAAAAGTATTCCCTTCGCAACGGATAAAATCTCTCGAGCTCGTTTGATTTTCGTTTCAGCGAGTGAGAAGAAAAGAGAAAGAGAGTTAGAGTTCGAAGAAACGCCAAAATTGCTATCTCAATTTTCGTCGTTCGGTTGCGTTTACCGAAGAATTCTTGTTATCGATACAAAATCGTTAAACTCGAAGAAGGTCAGCTTAACGATCGATGGCTAAAATTACGCGTCGACGATATTAGAGACTAGCCGTATTTCGAATAACCGAGTAATAGAATGTTAAACAGAATTCCTTCGAATCTTGAAACATTGACGAAAACAACGATATCCGAATACGTACGTATACGTAGTTCCATTCGAAACGTTCGTTCATTGGTATCGGAGTTTATACGCGATTTCCGGTACTCGCGAACAAATTCTCTTATAAATTTTGAAGCAATATCCGGTACCGGTCAGGTTACGCTTAGCGTTCCGATTCGTGATTTCAGCAGGAAATTAACCAAGTTTGATCCGTGTTACAGCTCTGAAGACACCGCCGGCGTTTCACGAACAACGTAAACAGCTAGAACGAGCGAAAACCGGCGATCTGCTGAAGGCGAAAATTCAGCAGAGACCAGGCAGGGAGGAGCTGGTTAGGCAGCATATCCTCGAAGATGTAGGTCACGTGGATCCAAGCCTGGCCGAGAGGCAACGTATGTTGAAGAAGGCCAGGTTAGCTGACCAGCTGAACGATCAACTCAGTCATCGACCTGGACCGCTCGAGCTCATCCAGAAGAATATTTTGCACACGGAGGAGCCCATTGAAAGGGCGGTCAAAGGTGAGTCCATCTCGCGTCGGTGGTACTCTGTCTTTCGCGATTTTGATCGATACACCTCTCTGAAAGAGCGTAAGAAGAACGTTGTTAACGCGTTCAAAATTGCCTACCTGTGCAATCTAACCGTTAAGTATTCCCTTTCGAAGAACTATATTCGCTTCGAGTCCAGGTGAAGCGACGAATCTTGGCGATTAACGCGTTAAAAATTGTCTTCGTCGTAATCGATTTTCTATCGAAAGGTCCTCGATGCAAAGACTTTACGATGAGTAACCAGCGAAATCCTGACGCTTGCTTTCGAATCTGTCGTAGAGGGTCACATTCCCTTCAAGGCAACCTGCGAAGGACAGGTTACGAAGCCTCAGCATCCGGACCATTATATCACCTTCGAGGACGATTCTCAGAGTTCCGAAGGTGCACCCTCGCCGCAGTTGGAGTCCCGGGCGGACGTTCTGGAAACGGCGGCA